GGCCGTCCTGGTGGAAGGGGCTGCTCGTCGGGCCGGGGCAGCCCCGGGCGGGGGTGGGCTCCGTCCCCAAAGGTGCTGGTGCTCACTTCACCCTCCGCTGCTGGCAGGGCACCTGGCCGGGATACTGGCAGCAAAAAAGACGCTTACCGGGGCCTCTCGGACTGCGTCCTTAAGCTGGGGGACAGCATGGACACGTACGAGGAGGAGGAGGGCATCGAGCAGCAGGGACTGCGCCGAGTCTGCAGGTGAGTAGGGCCCCAGGATTTGCCCCAGCCCTTCTTTTCCTGAGTTTGTTGTGATGCATCAAGATGACGGTGTTAGGAGGACGTTAACCTCATTAACTTGAGCAGAACTGAGGAAGAGCTGGGTAATGAGGGGTGCTGTTGGGCAGATTTGGGGAAAGGTCTGCTTAAAAAAGCAGACGAGCAGAAGTGGCAAGGTGGAAGTAAAATGTTTGTGGAGATAAATGGAGGCAGCTCCATGTCCCCAGCAGCGAGTAGTGGGGAGTGAACAAGAGTTACGAGGAAATGCAGGCAGCATTGAAGGGAAAATCCAGGTGCCTGGGGGCAGTGGAAACCTGGCAGAGCAAGGTGGAGGGCTGAGTGCCCTGCGGGTAAGGCTTTCCAAGCTGCTGGAAACCACCCCGCAGGCTGTGACCTGCTCTGTATTCTCCTTTCTCCAGGAGACAGCCTGGCTCAGGATGAACAACTTCTCTAGGATGTGCCTAAGGCTGGGTTGGAACTGCTCTAGCTTGGACAGTAGTTGATACTTTTTTTTTGTTTTTAAATGAGGCTTCCTGGTACTAGAAGACAGCTGAGCAGGCAGCCCAGCTCATACTGCTGGAAGGGCAATTCCTTTGCTGAAGCTCATGTGAAACATGTGAGGTTAGGTTTTCTTATTGCTCTGGGACAGTAACTATCACAGAACAAGGCCTGGGATCTTCCCCACTGGCAGGGTGGGGGCTCTGCACCTTCAGGGGCATGCCAGCTTCTTCTGGTCCTGCTGCACTGCTAGCCAGGCTTGCTGTGCCTGGAGGAGAAAGTTGATGTCCCAGCTTCCTGCCAGGAAATATTTCTAAACTATTTGCCTTTGACCTTCAGCCTTACCCGCCACTGTTTGCATTCCTGGTGCCATGGTCCTCTCTCCAGGAGTGCGGGTGGGAGATGGATGCAGAGCCAGGAGCTGCTGTGGGGGCTGGTGGTGTGTCAGCTCTGTGCGTGGTGCTGCCCCAGAGACAGCCGTGCAAGTCACGTTTCAGCCTCCTGCCTGCACGAGCAGATGGAGGCTGTGAAGGGTGAAACACTGGGAATTGCCATCCCAGCTGAAAGCAGAACTGGGCAGGAACTGCCATCTCCACCTTCCCTCAGCCTTCTTTTGCCTGAAGACATGGGCCAGGTTTAACTCTCACCTGGCAGAGTTGCCTCCTGCTGCTGCAGCTCGGGAGCGAGTGCTGGAGGTTGCCTGGGTTGGCACCAGCTTTTCTCATTATCTGGGGACGTTTATTCTGCCACAGTGAATCGGTTTAATGAACTCCCTCACAGCTGGTGTTCTGACGTAAGCCCTGGTAGGAAGACTAAGTAAGCAAAGTGCTCAGGTTCGCTTGTGTGCACAAGGTGTCATCTCCAGCACGGAACTCGGACAATACTGGGCTGTCCCCTTCCAGTGCACAGGGTCCCTGCTCAGTCAGCTGGGCTGCATCCCCTTCCTGAGGGGTGGCACATATGCCTGCTGTGCTGGCAGACATGGGGAAAGTGACAGCAATTGCTCCTGTCCTGTAGGCAGTCCCCAGCTTGCAGGGGGCAGGAGGTGGTGCCCAGCCCCAGCACATGTGGGGCAGGGCAGCAGAACTGAGGTGGAGGGGAGGGCAGGAGGGTGCCTGGGGATGCAGAGCACTTGGTGCTGGAAGCTGGCAGAGGCTGAGAAGCTGGCTGAGACTCAGGGTGAAGATTTACCTTTCAGGTATAAGAAACTCTCTTTGAAAGAAGTAATGGGGGAGGGTTAGTTGAAATAGTGGCATAGAGCCTTATCTGTCCCTTGGTGAAGTTTTTGTTTTGGAGAGGAACCGCTTCCAGACGTTCCTATGGCATTTGCTGAGAATTTTTGGCTCCTGCAGCTTTATCTGGTGAGTTTGTACCTACAAACCAGAGACCTTGACTGTGAATTCAGCTGTGTTGGGACTTATAGACATGCTTGGAAGGACACAGAAGCAGCCAGGCTGTGGGTGCCCTCCCTGTCCCAGAGCAGGGCTGGTGTCACTGTGCCCTTCCTAGGGGAATCTTCTCTGAGACTGTGGTTTTCAGCCTCGTTTCTGCTGAGGCTTTTCCCTGTCTGGTTCTAGTTCTGGATCTGAAAATGAAAATAAAATCCAGGTTGCTGTATGCAGGGAAGGTGGCTGAGGGTGCCTTCAGTGAGCAGCTCCTGGTTTATTCCCAACAGGACTGGGTTATCTTTGCCTGTCTTGTTGTTTTCCTCTGGTGCTCCCCAAAAGCCTCTTTCCACTGAAGAGCTTCTACTCCTGCAGGTAATACCCAGCAGACAAATGGAGATAATTCTAATGAGAACACAGTGAACAACTCCTCCTGCCCCTGCCCATATCTCAGCTAAAGCTGTGACAGTCTGCATGAGCTGTTGTCCTTCTCCATGCTTTGTACTCGTGTTTGTCCTTGACTCAGCCTGGAGAAAGCTTGAGGAAAGCGATGAATGAGACATGCTAGGCCTTTGTTTGTAGCCTGTGTGAGATACTCAGGGTGCTCAGTGCTGAAGGGAAACATTTGTTGATGGCAAATAATGGATTTTATTGACTTTCAGAGAAAGAAAAAAAAAAAAGTCATGAAATAATTTAGTGTTTTGAGGTTTGGAGTTTTAGTCAAGATGCTCTGGCAGACAATGGAGGGGATGAATAGTCTGGACAACTTGTACAAAACACAGGGGGTGTTGCTGCTCTGAGGCTCTGCCTGCCATCCCAGCACTGTGGGAATGCAAAGGAACTGATGGTGTGGTGTCTCTCCTGGCTGCAGGTACTGGGATGAATTCCACACCTGTGCCCTGACAGCGCTCTGGGAGTGCCAGAAGGAAGCAGTGGCTGTCTGGGAGATGCTAAGAAGGGAGTCTCAAAAAAACAGATTTCAAGGCAGCTTGTTCGACCTCTGCAGCCCCAGCATGGCCCAAAGCTCTGCCTGGACCCACGTTCCCAACATTTCCATCCTCAGCATCCCTCTCATCGTCACTTGGCTGAACTTATAATCTGCAACACTGTGAGTATCACAGCAAAGGCAGCAGCAGCGTGTGCCATGGCACCTTCCTGGTCATTTTTCCAAACCTGAGGAATACACTGTGTGGATCTCAGAAACACTTGGCTCCATCCTGCACCTGTTAGGACATGGAAAAGATCAGCAGTATCTCCTGAGTGTTGCCATTTCTCTGTAACTTGGAAATAGTCCTGTTCCCTTCTGCCTCAAGGCACAGGGGCAGATCTGGCTGTCTGGAGAATTTGGGAACTTGTAGATACAGGGCAGAGGATTTGAGGGAAAATGATCAGTTCTGGAAATATGATGAACGCTGGATTCCTTTGCACTCTTCTATGGCTACTGGAAGGAAGCCTGTTTACTTTGCTGACGCTTTGCACCAGATCAACTCTCCAGGTTTTGGATTTGGGCACTGAAAACGCAAATGGATGTTTTTATTCCTGCTCTGTGAGGTGCAGGGATGGTGTCTGTCCTGTCACAGGCAGAAGGGAGACTTTACTGCCTGGTACTGGTCTTTCTCCTTTGAGGATGTGATGAAACCCCTGCTGAAAAACAATCACAGTTGCATGACTTCTCTTGCACACATCTGGATTCCTGAGTAACTCCTGTGTTATGTGTAGATCCCTTTTCTAAGGACATAGAGGTCAAAAATATTTGGGGGGAGAGGGAGTGTCAAGCTAGCAGGAGAAAAGGTAATTATAGCAACCCTTCTGCTTCAAAGCTTTCCCCAAGGTACCTGTAAGCAGCTCTGTGGATAGCAGTGTCTAATTCCAGAGTATTAAAGTTTGTTGTAGAGCCTCCAGCATGGTACAAGTTGTTTGTCCTGGCTCTTACACTACAGCACGGTCTCCTCTTGTCTCCTTTGCAGCTCAGAGTGTTGTTTTGCAGCTTCAGTACAGGCATGGCAGTATGTGCAACAGGAAGGTGTCTGCAAGTGTCTTCTGGCTATGTTAGCAAAACACAGCAATATTATTGGGCAGTCCAAGGCAGTCTGCTTTAAGGATGCTGGTGGAGGTCTGTGCCCTACCTGGCTGCACAAGGCCATGGAGCTGTAACTAGTGGGGTATGTGCTTTACAGGGTGAGCAGGGGATCCAGGGCCCTGCCAGCTCCACAGATCCCACTGGATGCATTACAGGCAGTGGGCAAACTTCTACAGCAAGGGAAGTTTTGGGTCATGCTGCTCTCCTTTGGCATTCATGTGTTCTTCCTCTTTCCTTCACTATCACTCAACCGTTTTTTCCTGCAGCAGCAGGAGGGAACAAATGAATTGAGGCAAATTCCAAGAAATAAGTCAGGGAGGAGCAGCTGGTGTTCAGACAGCACCTCAGTGCACCTTGGCTTTCTACAGACCAGAGCTGTTACATACTCAGTACTCAGCATCTGGGGCACAAAGCCTTAGGGTAAACTAGAGCACAGCAAAACCTGGAATGAACCACTCAAATGCTTATTTTTTCTTCTTATTCTGCTCCAACAGCAGTGTATGCTATTTGATCCTGTTCCCCCCTCTCTGTACCTCTTCTCCTGCCTGTGGTTTCTATGTGGGGAAGGCTGAAGCAGGTGGGTGTCATGTACAAACAAGGCTGGAGTCTTTTGGCTCCAAATCCTGAATCTGCTCTCTGTTTAAACAGGTATTAATGCCTTTAGGAAAACATATAAGCACAGCCCCCCCCCACAACCCCACAGCCCTTACATTGTTCTCTTTGAATTTGGCGATTCCTCTGTGTTAAAATTTTCTACTTTTAAACAGCTTTGGGGAAAGGGAAGGTAAAAGTCTTAGATCTTCAAGAGGTCTTCTTTTTGCAAAACCATGGATGCAAATGGCTGGCTGACATTGCCACTGCCTCTGAGAGGAGCAGGTGTTGGGACATATCTTCCCTGGAAGCAAATCCCTCAACTATTGCACACAAAACCCCCAAAGATTCATTAAGAAACAAAGACCATCTGCCACTGTTCTGAGATGGAGCAGATTTTTTTTTTTAAAGCCAAAGGTGCTTCTAAATCTGACTGAAAGCATGTGAGAGAAAATTAGGTCTCACAGTATGGGAGTGATGAGTTTCCTCAATCAATATTTCATTTTTAGCAGAACTTCCCCTATGACTAGGACAATTATAGCAGAATTCCTTTTGAAAGAAGTAATACAGGGATTCAGTTCTCCTAGGCAGTCAGCAGCCTTTCAGAAAGCATTTCTGATCCTACAGCACACTTCATGCTGATGCAGTGCAGCTGATGGGATGTCCTGCAGCCTCAGCATTCAATCACTTTTGTCAAGGATTCCTCTCGTGGCCTTGCTCTGAGTTTCTCCAGTTACAAAGCTGTACCCAGATTTCACCCCCCAGGGAAGCTGCTGAAGCAGTTACAGCATATCTTGTGTACACAGAAAGGGCTTGAAGTGTTCCTTGGTCCAAAGTCTTCACCTCTGTTCTTGCAGGGGATCAAAGGTAGCACCTTTGCTAATACAGGCTCACAGCAACTCTGGGCTTAGCTGGAATAATGTGGCTTTCCCTCCTTGCTCTTATATTCACTGTAATTAGTCTTCTAGCTCCCACTTGCCTTAAGACCATCCCTGAAGAGCACAGCAGTTCACACTGTGATTTGATGTGGTGTGAAGCCTTGAAACAAACCTGCAGACCTTCCCTGTCCCTGCAGGACTGGGGTGTTTTTAACTCAAGAATAGCAACAAAAGCAGAAGAGGACAAAATGACCCTGAAGGAGTCTTAAAATATGACTGACACCACCCCAGTGCTTGTCACCCGGAGGCAGAGCTGCTCTGTGCCCCGATCCCAACCGCACGCACACTCCCTGCTCCTTTCTGAGGGAGATACTGGCACCTACTGGAGACCAGTTTATATCCAGGCTGAGGTGACTGGGAGAAAGGCAAGTATCCTTATGAAATGAGAAGGGATGGACTGTCTTGCTGCCTGCACAGCAGAGCTGCAGGGGCAGCCCTAGGAAGTGACCTCCAGGCTGGCTGCAGCCCAGAAAAACACTTGTGTAAACTCTTCCCTCTGAAAGGCTGCTGCTGTTTGAAACTCTGCTCACAGGGGTTTGGTCAGGAAGGGCTCCTGGTGAAATCCCAGAATATAAAATGTGCTGTTTACATTTGTTTAGACAGAAATCCTCCTCCGAGGCAGATCTGCCAAGTATGTAAAGCAGCAGGATGTTATCCTGCCTCAACTTACAGTGCCTGAATGTGAATGTGAGGGATTGAAATACAGCTCAGCTCCCCAGTAACAAGAGTCAAAAGAGCAGCATCAAAGAGTTTATCAGTTTCTGTATCTCACATCATCATCCCACCACTTTTCAACGAGATGAACGAGCAAATAACTTACGCAAATGAACACAAATATTAGCATACAGAGGGAAGGTACAGCAGCAAGGTGCTGCACAGGAGGAAGAATCTGGCTCCAGAACTGGCTTTGCCCTTGTTTGGGATTGCACAAACCAGACATCCCTCAGTGGAAACCAGGCAGGATGTGGGTTTGCTTTCTTGGGCTGTGGGACTGGAGGAACCACCCAGCTCTGGCCCCTCAGCAGGAGGGGGTGTCCCTGCCTGCCCACAGGTGATGTTGATTTGAAATGCCCCTAAATAAAGACACAGCCTGTTATTGTGAGAAATACCACCAGTCTCTCATTTAACATCACCTCTGCCAGGCCAGGTCTGTTGCTGGACTTCTGAAGCCTGTTGGGAAGACCCAGACAAGTGGGAGCAGCACAGCTCCAGGACACCTTCCCAGGTTTCCCCATACAGCTCCAGCTTCATGCTGTGGAGACCCTGGACTGCTGACACCCCTCCTGAAGCAGGATTATGCCCACTGACTTCCCAAGACAGCACTCACTGATGCCTTCCATTCAGAGCAGAGGTATGAAATGTTTATTGTAGGAAATTTTATGTGCCCCAGACACTGGGCATCCCACAGCCAGGTGTTGTCTGGCTGCATCCTTCTGTTTGCCATGATACAGACACTCGTGGTGTTCCTCGAAGTGCTCAGCTTCCCAGGAGAGCCGTGACACACTCACAGCAACATAGTATTTTTATTATTACAAAAGATTTCTCCAGCAAACTGCTGTCTGTCATGTCTATGTATCAAACACGGATACAGCAAACAAACCCATCTAATGATATAGGTTATTTAGTGTCTCAGCTGGTGATTCAGGTAAGTACAACTATTTTCCTTCTCCCCATCCACTCACTTCCTTGACTCTTTTTCCCAAGCCAAAGCCCAAACAAGTCACAGGTCGGAAGCAGCAGCTCCCAGCCCTGCTGCTCACCGTGCCAGCTCCCACAGGAATTGCTGACCATTGCATGACCCATACAGGGCACTCCCACGTTGTGAATTCCAGATGCTCCTCACACACTAAGTTCTGCTACCTGGCTTTTAACAGTCTCATGAGTGAAGAGTTTAAGGGCACACTCTCCAAACAGTCATATTAATGCTTTGTGTTAACAAAATAAACTTCTGCTCCTCCCCTGTCGTCGGCTGATGCCAGAGGAGATGCTCACTCTCATGCAGTCACCGAGGTCCAAAGTAAACCATTAATAACAAAGTCTGAACAGGCCTGCTGTGCTTCTTCAGGGATGATTCTGAGGCATTAGATGCACTTTGTGCTGGAAACAATGACATAACGCAGCATGTTGTTGCCAGGGCGAGTCTATACGTTGGATTTGGGGGCGGAATTGAGGGGGATCTCCCTGAGCTCTATCCTCATGCACAGGTACTCCCCGATGGCAGCCATCAGGGCAGTGCACACGATGTGCACCAGCCACCACGTCAGCGTGGAGGGAAAGCGGGAGTTGTAAATCCAGCAGCCCAGGAGGTGGAAGAAGTGGACTGTGACTGTGAAATCCAGGCACTGCTTCCCTCGGCGGATGAAGTACAGCAAGGCTAGAGCACTGCAAAGTAAAGACAAGGGATTAACAAACAGCACCAGAGCTGTGGAAAATGGGGTGCAGCAACAGTTATCAGTGCTGATTATTTAGCTGTTTTAAAACATGTTCAAATACTTTAAGAGCAGGTTATTTTTGCCCTCTCTCCTGGCTGCTGCAGCAAGGCTTACATGCTTACAGCTTTTTAATTACATGATAGCAGGGAAATGAGATTTTAGGCAGGAATTATTAAACCATCTCCCCCAGTAATCTCTGGGCAGTGGCAAAATTCATTAATGCTTGCAGATCACAGTGTTTGGTGAGATCCACTAACTGTAACTTGCAGTAAAATTTCTCACAGAAGCAAATCTCATTCCCAGCTGGGAAACTGAGGCAGCAAAGTGAAATGACTTTCCAGGTTCTAAAAAGCCAGGAGTCAGCAGTTCCCAACTGCCCTCAGCAGACATGCTCAACAGGGATTTCGGGAGAAGCTTAGAGAGAGGCAATACATCACATTGCGTTCTCTTACAGCTTAACATTACGAAAGGACAAGATGCAGGTGCTCCAGCTAGCTGCAGACTTACCAGGTGAGTGCATTGAGGATGAAAGCCATCATGGAGAGCCTCCCCGGCGGGGTTGAGAAGCCTAAAATCTACACGGGACTATTAGTAGGAACCCGCGGCACAAATCAGCCCAAAACCTGCTCCCCTGGCCCAGGAGCATCAGCACAGCCCCATAACTGCCTGGGCACGTCTGGGGGTACCTATAGGAAAGGGACAGGTCTGGTTCTGCACTGAGGGGAACCTCCTAAACCAGGTGTGGAGTGTGTGTGTCTCCACGCTGGGGTTGTCTATATGGGGAGAGGGAGTTGTCTTTACACTGGGGGTACCTACACAGGGTGTCTGTCTCCAGGGAGGAGTTAACACCCACACAGCAAGGTGCTCCCTCTATAAGGGGGAATACCAACTGCACAGGGTGTCTGTCTCTGAGGGGGTACCACCTACACAGCAAGGTGCTCCCTTTGTAAGGTGGGGTACCACCTATTCAGGGTGTCTGTCTCTATACAGGGGGTATAACATCTACACCGGGTATCTGTCCCCATGGGGGGGTTAACACCTGCACAGCAAGGTGCTCCCTCTATAAGGTGAGGTACCACCTATTCAGGGTGTCTGTCTCTGCACAGGGGGAACACCACCTACACAGGGTGTCTGTCAGGGGGTACCGCTACACGGCGCGGTGCTGTCTGTGCCCCAGGGCACCACCTCTCCGAG